AATTGTAAGCTTAAATTTAAACTTGCAATTTCTGCTGTAATTAATTACACTTTGTCCATTTCCTCGGCGTATTTAAACAGAATTTTTGGACAAATGACTTCGATTTCCACAACGGAAGACGTAACTAGAAAACGGAAACGAAGACATCTTCATGTAACATAGAGATATTGTGTACTCAGCCTGAGGTCAAAAGATGAAAATTTAAGGAAGAAATGCGGAAGAAAACGATTGAGATTGACGAGTTGAAGTGCGAGTTGCAGAATAAGTCGTGTTCAGAACAAAGCGATTACGAGGAACGTTTGGCCGAGGAACGTTCGGTGAGTGATGATGACATCTCGAAAGTTGTAATTCTTTTAGTAACGATAATAAATTTTGTCGAAAATTTTCAGTTCAGTGATTATTTCCCTCGAAAATAATAATAATGATTGATTTAATAAGTACAGAAAGTGAAACAATTGGAAGATGAGATATCGAAGCAAAAGATCGAATTCGATGAGCACATGAAATCAGTTGTGGACGAATGCGCAAAGAGCAAGACGAGCGTTGAAGAACTGCAGCAAAAACTTGAGAGGTATGTAATGTAGCATGGTGAATGCATATTCTTCATTATTTCACAATATTTTCAACAGTGAAATCACGATTTTATCAACTCATTTATGGTGTGATGAAAGCGTTGAAAGACGCAACGTTGATAGCGAGCGTGTATCTTTTATCAACAACAATATTCGACTGTAAACAATGTTTCGTAAGAATCTTTCGCAACAGTGTCCTTAACGGTCAAAATCATCAAAGGCTTGTTAATAGCAATAAACAAGAGACACGTACACATCAGAGAAGATAAGACACTGAAAAGAATAAGGTCTGAGGATCATGTAAGATATTTCAGTGTTGAAGAACAGCTGAGGATAGTTCAAAGTAATTTGAATATAAGCGAGGAAAGGTTGAGTGAGGCAGAGACTGAGAAGATCGCTCTGTCTGATGAACTCGCAGAGGTGAAATCAGAACGTGATGGTCTATTCGATCGAGTTGATGAAATTGAGACAGAGCGCAAGAAGGATCATGAGAATTGGGAGAAGAAATGGAACGAGATTCGGGAGGAGAATAAACAAAAGGCTCGTTGTTTTAACTGTACGCGAGCGAGTTGTTTCTGTCTTTTCTCACTATATGCCATTCCCGGAATACTGTTGTTTCCAACCTCAAACAAAGGCTTTGACATAGACTTAAGCTCAGCTTAGAGGCCCTTGTAGATATTTTGAGAATCAAAGTTTTTGAATATAGGAAAATTTGGATAGTTCATAGACTGAGTCGTTTTTTTAAATGTTCGTTCATTTTCATTTTAACTGGAACTTGGTTTTTGAGGAAATCTTAAGATTAAGTATTTGAGAAGTTATGGTTGAATCGTGCTCATTTTTTGTTATTCCGTGTTAGGAAGAAGAAGTGATGAACTCAACACAAAAACAGAACGAAGCGATCAGCGAGCAGACTCAACGAATCACATATTTAGAAGCGTTGAATCAAAAATTGCGCGATGAATTTCTGCAGAAGGTTTATAGATTGACGTTGTTATCGGTTATCGGTTTTGTGTTAATTTACATATTAATTGCATTGCGGTCGTATTGTTTGTAGATTATTTATCATTGCAGGAGGCAGTTGTGAGCGAACTGCAAACGAAGATTCAAAACCTGAATGATATCGAAAAGAAGGAACAGCAGGAAATTTCGAACCTTCGATCGAATTTGACACAGACAGAGGTATGTGTTGGGTGTGTGCAGTTGGGAATGTCTCGTGTGTTGGATTGCTCTACTGATTGTCTTTTTG